CACACCCTGAACCCTCATTCCCAGCCCCACCCCATAGCCCTCACCCCCGCACTCCAACCCTCTGCCCCAGCCCTGAGCCCCTCCCACACCCCAAACCCCTCATCCCCAGCTCCGTTGGGTCGCGGGCATCAACAATTTTCTTCAACTGGGTCGCCAGAAAAAAAGTTTGAAAACCCCTGTCCTAGACTGACCATAATCAGAGCTCCCCCAAACTGGTGCCCTCCCCTCCCTCCCAGAAGCTGCTTTTTGTTCTGTCGTCTCTTGCTTATTCTGCGTTTCCCAATTTCAGATTTCTGCAGCTAGTCAGCCGAGGACGGGCAGAGGGGTGGGGGTGGGCGGAACAGCCAATTCCTGGTGCAAAGTCTACCCAGCTTGTAACAAATGCAGGCATGTCTCTGTACAAAGCAAAGTAGTAGTCTTGGCTCATTGCAACCGAACCAGCCGGAAATGATCTGTACTCAACCCAGCAAGCTGAGCATGTAACTCCTAAGAGCGGAACCACTTGGCCAAACCGGTCCTGGTCTGGTAGGTCTCTGTCATTTGCAAGGCCCGGCAGGCTTTGCAGAAGTGGATGGTCCAGGACCATCGCTCGGACGGTTTTAGCCATGTTCGCCACTGGAAGTAGCGCTGGTAGCGCGCTGGGTCCTTGTCCAGCTCCTGGAGGTACTGGGCCAGCTCTTGAGCATTGGGAAAGTCATTGATGTGAATAAAGGCATCAGGGGGCAGAAAGCGCTCATAGTTTTCTCGGGAGGGGCCGCACACAACGGGCACGACCCCTGAGCCCAGGGCATTGTTCCAGAGTTTCTCGGTGATGTAGTCCTCATGAAGCGAGTTCTCAAAGGCCAGGTAGAACTTGTACTGGGACAGGGTGGAGAGGTGCTTGTCCCGGGGCAGAGGCATGTGATGGCTGCCGTATATATCCACGTGGAGGTATTTCTTCAGCTCCTCATAATACTGCACCCGGCGGGAGGCTGGGTTCCAGTTACTCACCGCCCAGGCCACCAGCTTGGTCTTGGCTGGGATGCTGAAGTTCTGGGGCTGGCTGAGGACCTCCAGCCACCCGTAGGGGGTGAAGATATCAGAGTCCCTCCGGTATGACATGGTCAGGTTGAAGAGGTTATCCATAAAGCCCAGGTTAGGGCTGTGGCTGGGGGACTCCAAGTTGAACCAGATCCAGCGCTGGGAAGGGGGCCGTGGGCCTTGGGGCAGTTTCTTTGGGCTGGAGCACACATCCTTGTGACGCACAATCACAGCATTGGCATTGTGGTACCAGCTACGGTTGGCCGTGATGTGACAGTCCCGGATGCCGAAGAGCTCGGAGCATTTTTGCAGAGCAGCAGGGTGCCCAAAGGGCCAGGTCCATAGCAGGATGGTCAGCTCCGAACCAGCCTGTGGAGCTGTGGGGTGGTTTCCAGGCTGGGCTGTGAGTGCTGAGGGATTGCCAGCCCGGGGCTCTGGGCCTGGGTCCCTGGAGGGCCGAAGGTAAGCAAACAAACAGAGGGCGAGTATGAATTGGGAGAGAATAAAGAGGAGGAGGTGCCTGCAGGCTGGGCTTTTCATCTGCTTGCTGAGCGGCATTGCTGGCCTGGGAATGCAGGAGACACCAATGACGGAGGGATTAGTGATTAACGATAACTAAACATGGCGGGGACGAGCGGAACGGAACAATGCCAGGAACTGGCACAGCTTGTTAGAAAGTGGTCACAGATCTGAAGCCCCCCATGAGGCAACATGAAGCAGAATCACTTGCAGACTCACACCCAAGGGCAAACACGTTCTTTGGTGGGCCCACCCCCCACCCCCTCAAACCTGCCCCTGCTGAAATAACCTCATTAGGTAGGATGCTGCACTTGTGGCTAGGAATTACCCAGAGCAAACTGGGTTGCTCGTCCTTTCCAACCACTTAGACCTTATCTACACTACCGGTTACTTCGGTAGAACTTGCATCTCTCAGAACTTAGACATAGCGTCTGCCTTTGGTGGAGGTGGCGTTATTAAGCTTTCTCCCGTCAGCTTAGGGTGTCGCCCTCACAAGTGCTACAGTTGTGTAAATGGAGCCGGAGCCTCGGGAAAATGGAGATAACCATGTCCAGCTGGCAGGAGGGATTTAGGGAGGCATCAGATAATTCCAGGTTGCGGTTTCACCAGGCCCCTGGTTCAAAATACGGTGGGAGCACCCACCAATTTGGATGTGACTACCACCCCTTTGGCTGACACACCAGGAATCCCAGAGCTGAAAGCGTGAGCTGAGAAGCCCAGGCTCCGTAGCTGTCTGCTATAACACACACTCGCTGGTGGGCTACATAGGATCTTCCAAAGGCCTTGGGGTTTCCTTCACCACTGCCCACCTCAGTTTCTTCCTCAGCCTTTTACTCCACTTTTCACCCATCCCTTTTTGGAAATTTATTTGCATAACAATACAGCAGCAACGAGTCCAGGATTCCTGGTGCTACCTACTTGGCACTGCCATAGTCCCGTCCCTGAAGAGCTCAAGCCAAGACAGACGCAGCAGGGAATGGCTTGTCCAAGGTCATAGACCAGACGGCTGGCAGAATTGGGAATAGAACCCAGGGAGCCTGCCGCCTCGGCCAGTGCCCCTAGCCCCTAGACCAGGCTGCCTATGATTAGAGAACTTGCCACCCAAACCGCAGTCCAGACAGCAGTGAAGAAAGCAACTCACCTCTGGCTTCCGTCCTGACAAATTCCTGAGATGACGACAAGTGCTCTGGTGAGATGAGTTGAAGCGGCAGGTAGGATAAGAGAACGCAAGTGACGCAAAACAGAATGAGGGCAAAGTTACAGGGAGTGGATTTCATGTATCTCCTGGCCAATTGTTTACTATATGCCAATCAGCTGCAGCCGGAACAAGGTCCCCAAGAAATAAAAGTCCCTCCCTCTTTGAACATCCCCAGCCCATCCCTTTGCAACAATTGTTCCCAAGACTGATATGTTTGAAGATAATTGAGCAGTGACAGCAAAGAAGAGGGAAGCAATTGAACTGGAAACAGCATCCAAAGAGGGACAATATAAGATTGAAACCTACCAGATCTGCCTTCCTGGTTGATGTGACGCTGCACCTTTCCCTGTGAATGGGACGGGCAGAGCAATTCCAGGTCTTCTTGAGCTCCTGAGGTCACTTTGCAGAGCAAGCGAGCAAGGGATGGATGGAACAGTCCTCAGAGCTCTGCCCGGTACGACCATCAGCTCCATAGTCGGCCCACATGCCCTGCAGAGCACGGGAACCTGTGCAGAGCCGCCACACTCCACCTTCCATTTCTCCTTTGCCATGGAGGGGTTGCCTAGGCTGATAAGGAGATCATTAATCACCACGCGTTTCAAAGCTAAAGAGCAGATTTAGCCGCACTGCTCCCGTTGATTCCAATGTGCTGCCAAACCCCCTTTGAAAACCTCAACCGGGGTTTCAGGCCTGGATGTGTCACCAAGGCCTTCAAGCTTTTGCCTTCCGACTCCTTCACCCCCTCGTGACTCCCAGCACTCGAGAGGTGAGCTGGACAGGAACACGGAGTGATACCGGCTCTGCTTGGGGAAGACCAGCTATGGGCCCTGTCCTGCTACAAAGCTCGCCCTCCCCCAGCCCAGGCGAGTTGGTCTCGTGTATCTTAGTCACTGGGGTGAGCCATGCTTTTCAGTTGCTGTGATTGGGGTGAATTGTTTCTTTGTGCACCTGCCTGGCTGCAAGGGGCTGGCATGAAAAGGCCATTCATGCATTAAATCAGGATGAAATGTATTTAAATGGAAGCACGGGCTGTTTGACTTGAATTACAGTTTCTGGATGGAGGCTGCACCTGGAAGGGGGTGGGGGCAGGAATCAGGCCTGGGATGTTCAGGAATTTGCTGCGAAGGGCTTTTAAATTCTTCGAATCCCTATGTGCCAGGCACAAGGGTCAGGTCTAGAGGTGCCTTTTATCCCCTAGGCTTGACCCTAGGCACATCCTGCAGACTGGAGCAGCTTTTAAGGGTAGGAGTCTAACAGGAGGAGTATGAAAAATATCATCGAGCGAAGGAGAGCGATATACTTGGGTTTGGTTTCCCAGAGCCCCTGAGGTCACAGACTCCCTTTCCTGATTGGAAAAGTTGTGTCAGACCTGGGGCTGATAATCCACCCTGCGTTCCAGAAAAGGCAGTGGGTTCTCTGTCTCTCCCCCTGTGAAATGAAGCACAGGCACTGGCTGGGTTTTCTGACGTTCAGCCCTTGGGCGGGTGCAAGATCACAGGGCAGAAGGAGCCTCTCATTAAAACCATCGTGACTGGGGTTTTCCAAAGTGTTTAAGGGACTGAAACCACTGCACTTTCTGGGAGTCCGTCACTGGTAGTTGGATGCAGAAGTCCAGGGGTAGTCAATTATTTTTTGTCAAGGTCCAAATTTCTTGGTCAAAGTATAGTCAGGGTCCAGATTCCAGCGAAAATAATTGTAAAAAATAACAATACGTAAATAAAAAATGTTGGGGTCCATTCAAAAGTGTCTGGCGGTCCGGATTTGGCCTGTGGTCTGCCTACTGACTACCCGTCAGGGTCTGAAAATCCCGGCTCATGTGGGGTGCACATACTGGGTGACTGTCAGAATGTTGTATTCTGGGTACTGCACCTTTAAATGGGTAAGGAACGAGACAGAGCCATAGGACAGAGGACAGACGCACTCTGCTCTCTCCTGCAGACTTCACTTTTCCTTTTTCTTGTTTGCTTGTGCCCCTTCATGTATAATATATGTTGCTGGTGCCAAGGAGTCATGAAATAAGTGGATCTGGCTGCTTGGGAATTTCCCTAGTGTTGGGCGACTCTCCGGGGAGGGCGTAGAACTGGTGTAGCAGCTCGGCAGAATTCCACCTCCTCCAGCAGCCCTCAGTTTAGGGGGGTGCATAGGGGGCGTGGCTAAAGAAAAAGGGGACATCCCCATAACTCTGCTGTGCTTTGCCTATTCCTGGTTGCTGGAACAACCCCTCGATTTCATAGCCAGTTGGGTGCAAACTATAGAGGCCTTCAGACTGCTCTAAACTTGCACCAGCCCCAGAATACAGGACGCCTAAATGTGGGACAAAAACCACCTTCTCCCTCACCTTCCTCTCCTCTTGCCCCAAAGCCTCTGGGTGCTCTTTGGGTATCGCAAAATGTAAGAATTCCTTCCGTCATGGGTGGCAAGTGAACCACCCCTTTGGGGAGGCTAGTCCCACGACCCCACCCCTTTTGCCCAAGGCCTCGCCCACCCTCCTGCCAGAGTCCCGAGTCCACTACCCCACCCCTCGCGGCTGTAGGAGCCCCAGTCAGCCTGCCCCAGCCCCAGCATCAGCCTGAGCCACCCCATGGCTTCCCGGCCCCTGGCCGCCGGCTAGAGCTGAGTCCCCGCCGGCTTCGAGGGAGAGCCAGGGTGGGGCCTTAGGGCAGAGCGTGGGCCGGGCCATGGCCTGGGTTAGGGGGAGCCTTAGCCTCCTCTGGCCTTCGATAACCCCCGCCCATGCCTTCTGTGCAAATGGGATTTGAACCCTCAAAGCCGTAGCAGTAACTGTGGACACCATGAAAGTCATATATTTAATGGCAGCCTGTGATGGGGTGACTACCCCACACTCACCCTGCATGTTTTAACCCAGGCCAGTTGGGCCAATTAACCCACGAGGCAGCTGATTAAGGAGGCTCAGCTGGGCAGAAATAGGCAGGGCCCATAAAGCCCAGGAGCTGAAAGGAGAATAGGCGACGGGGCCGGCTTTAGGAACTGCGGGGCCCGATTCGAATCCCCGGCGACGGTCCGGGTCTTCGGCGGCACTTCAGCGGCGGGGGGTCCTTCCCTCGCTCCGGGTCTTCCGCGGCACTGAAGGACCGCCCCGCCACCGAAGTGCCGCCGAAGACCTGGACCGCCGCTGGGTGAGTAAAAACAATTTAAAAGGCGCTTAAGGCCCTCTTAGGCGCAGGGCCCGATTCTGGGGAATCGGGGGAATCGGCCTAAAGACGGCCCTGAGGCAGACACGCCCAGGAGAGTGGGAGTGGAGACTGCAGACTGCAGATGGCAGTTACTCCCTGGGAAGAGGGAGGAGGCTTTGGGAACTGGTAGGCCTAGGAAAAAAAGGGGAACCAGTAGTAGGAAGCAGCCCAGGGATAGAGTAGTAAGGCCTAGACCCTCAGCTTAGCAGTCTAGGCCTTACTGCTCTATCCATGGGCTGGAACCCGGAGAAGAGGATGGGCCCGGGTTCATCTACCAGCCACGGGGCATGTGGCACAGAGACCGTGAGCGGTTAGACTGCCTAGGACTACTGAGGCGCTAAACCTCCCCTGGAAAGGGAAACACAGACAGTGACACTGCCGGAGGGTCGAGCCATGAAAAGAACGCTGTGGTTCCTGAGGTTGTGAGAGGAGCTGCAGGTGGACGAAGTGACGGTGTGAAAACCGCGGCTGGGGTGGGGGCGTTGGGCTCGAGCTAATCCCCAGGGTACCAGAAGGAGGCGCTAGTCCAGCGGCGAGTGGTGCGCCCTATGACACAGCCTCCACAGACTTTCAGAAGCATAGGCCGGGTAGTTGTAGCCGTGTCAGTCCCAGGATATTGGAGAGACACGGTGGGTCAATAAAAGATC